ATAGTGCCATATATCTGTTTTATAATGTTCACATAAAGGCAGCTACGAGAATACTTTTTGTACGCAAAGAAAACAAAAATAATGACTTCATTCAACAATTCGTCTCCTCTGCGTCACCCTGGTGCCATTTTGGAGAGTATCCGCTGAACGTAAACAGCGTATGCTATTCTGTGTCAGCTGTGTCACGCGGATACGTTGCTTTTGTTCAAATCAAAGCGTAAACAACGTAGAAAACATATTCGCGTGACGCAGCTGACACAGAATAGCATACACTGTTTGCGTTCAGTGGATACTCTCCAAAATGTGTTCAGAAGATGAGCAGAGGTCTTACATGTTTAGAACGACATGAGGGTGAGTAATTAATGACAGAATTTTCATTTTTGGGTGAACTATCCCTTTAAGAGAGTACAAGGTAGGTTATTTAAAATTTTAGCAGTGCCTTCGCATCTGCTCCACTACAAAAAATAATAGCGTGTCAGTAAGCATGGGGGAATCTCGCTCTCAAGCAGCTAATTGGCTTGCTTCCATCACACAACCTACAATTAGGACTCACGGTGCTTGTGGAGGCAGCGCATGGGCTGTGCAGTCGCAGAGAACGGAGAAAGTGCTTTCTGCATTTTATGGCTTGCTTTTGGCAGTGAATTATGTGAAAATGGGACTTGTTTTAACTCCTTTAACTTGTAATAATCGTCGTGGTTGTAGAATACATAAGTCCGGTTGTGTGCTCGACATATTTTAAGACCGGGGAGAGAGAAATGCCACATGAGGCCCTTTTTTTCTTTTTTAAAATGTGGTTTTAGTTACCTTTTTTGTTTATTTTGCTCAAACATGTAATATTCCAACTGGTGTTGCCTATGAATTATTTGCTCCTTATGCTGTTTTTTATTATAGAAATCTTATCTATGCACAATCAGCTTGTAACACTCCAAAGAGAAAGGAAAACTTGAAATCGCATCATATGACCCCTTTAAGTGATATTTAGCATAAATGTGCCTGTAGTTGAAGTGACACTGTATTTCATACAATTGTAGAAACTGCAGAATAGAATTCTAGAAGACTGTTGATCATTTTCATGCAGAAATAATTTTTCATCCGTTTTTTAATTTTATTGATTTCGTTTTCACTGTTCCCACTAAAGAATGCACTCACACAGAAATGTAGTGTGAGAACTTTGTTTCTCAGCAGACTTCAAACATGTGCGACATGAAAGTGCCTCAAACATCAACCTGTATACAACTACCATTCTGTGACTTATTTGCTTTGGACTGTCCAGGGAATTGTTTGACAGTACGGCAGAGGCATGGAAAATGGATAACATGCTTGTTTTGGTACAACATGCTTAGATAGACCACTGGTTCGGAGCAGTTCTAAGCGTGTAATGTGTCCATCGACCCCCTCGATGCTTGTGAAATATTTCTCAGCATCATCTCATTGTTTCTCAAATTCAGTCTTGGGGAAAGCCACTGTTAGAATATTGTCTGTGGCATCGGTGTTTGATTCCTTTCAAAAAAAAGTTTGAAAAGTTTTTGTGAACAGAACCTCAATTGCAGAGATGGCAACAGAAAAAAAAAAAGAAAAAAAAACTTCTGTGTCGTTGAGTTTTGTTCACAGGATGGGGGAGGGATGACAAAATATGTTATTGCCCGCAGGACTGCTCTGTGGTTTTTGTTGAAGTTTAAATATCTTCCACTCCCCATATTTTAGACCTCCTCTTGGCATGAGTGGAAACCAAACAGCATTGTATCTCTACCTCATCTGCCATGGGCAGAGAAAAAAAGAAACTGTTGCTCAAGCCACATATTTCTCCCATGACTCTTTACTCATCTCTTGGCAGCGACGACATGTTTCCTTACCAAAAAACACCCATAAATCAGATTAACAACCGAAAAGACCACCAGTGTCGAAGTTTGATGCTGGCACAGGGATTTTGTGATGTTTGTTTGTGTTATGTATCTGTCATTCACCTACTCTTGTATCAGTAACAAAAGCGGCCATTGTGTAATCTCTTCAAAACTGAGCAAAACACAGATGGATTAGCGCTGTTAACATCCGTGCCTCGTAAACGTTGGCTTTGGTCCGAGTTAAATTGGGATTTACACAGGGCGAGAGCTGCTGGAATAATAAGAAGGGGTTTGGATTATCTCTGACAGTGTGTCCCATTTCATCCTTTTTCCTTTTTTTTCCCAGCCTCTCTTTTTGTCATCATCACTGGTTGCAGATTGTTAATCTCCATGTGGCCTGGATAGGTCTTCATCTGCTGGATTACAGGACTGTCTTATTGCAGGCGCTGACCGGGGCGTATGGTCAGAGAGGGCAGCTGTTTGCAGGTGCATGTGATGAGGGCTTAAATTTGCTTCCAAAAAGCCCATTTACCTAAGAGTGCAACCTTGTTTTTCACGGTTCCCAACAGGCGCATGTTCTTTCAAAAAAAAAAAAAGAGAGAGCAGTGAAGACTATAGTACAACATCAGACAGTCACATGGCCTGGCATGGGCTTTTCCCTCTGCTGGACCTTTGTCTTTCAGGCGATCATTCTCCGCAGGCAGTTACGCAATGTTTTTTTTTTTTTCCCTCTGTGGCTTGTCTTGAAATCCAGACATATTTGTGCATCTCCCGTTCCTCCCAGACTGTGCAGCGGACACTAATGACCAAGTAAAAAAGATGCAGGCACTGACGCATCACCACACTGTGCTGGCAAGGATCGTGACTGGCTCCACAACTCCTCCTGCACCCTGCTCATCACCAGAGCTGTGCCGCTGAGACCCCCATTAGAGAGGGATGGCGCTTGGAAGGACATTATATGTTGGAATTTTGAAAACAGCACAAAGGATTTAAACCCGACTTTGTGAGCGAAGGCAGAATTCCAGAAAATATTTGACACTTGATGTTTGCACACAATTAAAAGTAATGAATCAGGGTCGTGTTAGAGTAGAGAAGTGGAAAACATATAATTTACTGACAGTTAAAGCGTAACCGAAAAAGTCAGCCCATACATTTTCACATCCATTCATGTATAGTTACTCCCTTATTAGGACCCCTCCCTGCGGAGGAACAGCGAGAACGATCGACACGGTCATGGTTTGTTTTGTCTTGTTTTACCGGAGGCTTTGCCTCCGCTATTTTCAGCTGACCCTAATCAATCCCCAGATAACCGAATCCTGGGCTTTCAAGAACCCCATTAATTAGCCCTTTCACTTCCTTCTGATTTGAATCCTTTAACGTCATGCTTTTGCAGTAAATAGAGTTTGAATTTTAAAACATGCACCTCGTGGGTGCGACTTAAAGGGGAATATTTAATCATAGCTGTCTAAATGAGAGGATCATATTCTTTTAAGTGGTACCGGATGACTGCTAATGAGCATTCGCCGGGTCCCTGCAGAACCCCCTTTTTTCATATTTGTTTTATTTGGTTTCTGTCTCATTGCACTCTGAGGTCAAAGGGTAAGAAAAACCCCCACTTTAGTATTGGAAAGGAACACATATTTGTGTAGTGGGGGAAAAAAAATAAAACTTTGGACATTTACACTTCTGCTCAAAAGTTTACGGTCAATAAGATTGTATTTAATTTATTTCATTTCGCGGAAAGAAATTATTTTTATTAAGCAAGGATGCATTAAATTGTGTCATAAATTGAAAGTGACAGTTTTTTAAAATATATATATAAAACTGTCACTGAAACTTATAATGTTACAAAATACTTATTTTTCAAATAAATGCTGTTCTTTTGAACTTTCTATTCATCAAAGAATCCTGATCACAGCGTGAGCACCAGATCAGCATATTAGCTATTTATCTTTTTTGCCATTACAGGAATAATTTACATTTTAAAATATATTAAAACAGAAAACAGTTATTTTAAATATTTCACAATATTACTATTTTGACTGTATTTTTGATTAAAAAAAAATGTGCAAAAAATCTTACAGACCGTTAAAACTTTTAGTGGTAGTGTGTATAAAATTACATTTAATCCAATTACATTTTAAAATAATTGTATAATATATTTAATAAACATTTTATAATAAATACATTTAAATATATGTATTTATTTTATTATGTATACTGCTATAGAAAGTTAGGGCAATCTGAATTGTTTTTTTGCGGTGTGTGTCCATACTTGTAGTATAATCTCCTCAAACTTTATTTGGGTCATCCATAAGTTTGCCATCTATCATTAACATCTGCATTTAAAATGCCCCTTAAGTGTAGCTCCTAGAAAGAATCTAATAATTAATCACTAATATGTTTGTATTGTAGTGGCGCCAGGATCTGATTTACGAACATCCTGTGTCTTGGGCCTCTGTGGAATTCGGCTCCTCGTGTTTCAACTGTTCTTTATCAAATCTTACATTGTCTGATTCGGTCTGATACCCTACAGTTTACTAATCTGCATCAATGCCCAGACGTCACAGACCAGCAGCGGCCGCGAGTGCATGTTAGTGAACTCATGTTTACGTGTGTTTATGCGGGTCTCCTCTCTTCGTTTGAGTGTGAGACACTCACAGTTGATCCCCAGCAATCCCTGCATAACATAACTGACATATTAATTAACCCTCCGCTATGCTGTCAGTAGGAAATAAGGCATCACGGCCACATGAAGGTTGTTTTAGTTACTAGACTGACAGGCTGGGTAATAGGCATCCCTGCAGTCGCCATGTCACCTCCCCGCAGGTCAACCAGTCTTAGTCCGGAGGAGGTAGCAGTCACATCCACAATGTAGCGAATCAAAGAGGCTGCAAAATTAATGTGGGAATCAGCGTCAAGCCATGGGGGAAAAGGCAGCATAAAAGAACCGGAAATGAGAGGAAATAAGCCCTCACTAATACCTCATCTAAGGAGATTCCACCCAAGTGGGAGGTGTCTTTTGTCAAAGCGCTTCTGCTCCGGTAATTGTTTTTGACCTTCAACATCGTCAGTTTTGTGAAGAGAGCTCTTCCTCAGACAGTATACAGAATGGCAGTGCTGACGAGCTCAGAGATTTGTCAAAGCCTCTTGTGCGACATGTATGAGCTCTGTAAGGCCGTTGTTCGGTAACATACCTCCGCTTTATCAAGAGGATGAGCTGCATGGATCACCAGTCGACTGTCAGGGTTTTGAAAGGACTTCAGGCGCACACTTTGGGCCAAAGAGAAGGATTTCAAATCTGTGCATTAAAGGGAAGCTGCCCTCTGAATACCCTCTGAATACAACGACCCTTAAAGGAATACTCCACCCCAAAATGAAAATGTTGTCATTAATCACTCCCATGTCGTTCCAAACCTGTAAAAGCTTCGTTCATCTTCGGAACACAATTTAATATATTTTGGATGAAAACCGGGAGGCTTGTGACTGTCCGATTGACTGCCAAGTAAATTACACTGTCAAGGTCCAGAAAAGTATGAAAGACATCGTCAGAATAGTCTATCTGCCATCAGTGGTTCAACCGTAACGTTATGAAGCGACGAGAATACTTTTTGTACCCAAAGGAAACAAAAATAACAACTTTATTCAACAATTCGTCTCCTCTGTGTCTCTCCGCATTACCGTAGTGCCATTTTGGAGAATATACGCTGAACGCAAGCAGCGTATGCTATTCTGTGTCAGCCGTGAAACAAGGATACGTTTTCTGCATGTATTTACGCTTTGATTTGAACGAAATCAAAATATCTTAAATTGTGTTCCAAAGACGAACGAAGCTTTTAGGGGTTTGGAACGACATGGGAGTGATTAATGACTAAATTTTCATTTTGGGGTAGAGTATCCCTTTAAGGGTCGTTGTATTCAGAGGGTATTCAGAGGGAAGCTTCTTCATCAGATGTGTTGTTAGCATGTAGGTTAGCTATGCTAGTCTTTTTTACTGCAGAATAGAATTGTCTCACAGTTTGTGCACCTTTTTTAATAGAAAGATTGTGGTCGTTGATAAAATGAAAAGCAGTTGATTTTTGGAAAGTGTGTTATTTTTGCTCTAACATTTTAGACACTTTTTAAAAACCTATAATAATCATGAAACTCAACGATATAAATTATTTTATTTTATTAAAGATAAACAATACAAATTATTTTTATTTTATACAAATGACTGGGTAAGAAAACTCACTCAGCTTCTCATAGAACAAAATAAAATTGAAATAGCATTTAATAAAACATTCTTTGAAGTACTCCTAATTTAATCTTACTAAAACCTGTAAAGTGTGCCTTGGATTTAAAGGCACACTTCAGACTTCAGAGTGAACTATTTTTGAGGTAATGAAGCATTGCCAGTGATCGCTGTGAAGCTGCTCACCAGATTTCTTGGCTGAGCTCAGAACTTTAATGGAAGCACACCAGCAATCAGCGGCCTGGCTGCATCACAGTGACAGAACATGTGGCCTCAGCTTCAGATGTGTAATTAAGGTATAAGAGCTGTGATTCGAAGAGGAACTTTCAGAACTCTTACCAAGCACCTCAAATATAAATAATTGTATTGTAGTCAAAATTGAATGTCAAACACTGAAATTTCATCAGAGATTGCTTTATCACATCACAGATTTTTACCTTTTCTCAGTATGTTTTATATTATTTCCACAATAACATCCAAACATATGGGTAAACATACAAAAGTTGAAGGTCATTAAAAAAAAACTGAAGAAGAAAAACTTAAATGGGCTCCTGTCTACAAAATCTGTGTGCATATATTTGGTTGCAAAAGAAAAAATGGATAAATAAATAAAGATACTTGTTCCACTTTTGTCACAGTTAAAATTCACTTATTAAACAAAACTCTGTATACATTCAACCTCACTTTAAAGGTGTGTATTATGTTCATAAAAGCCCAGTGGTTTTATGATAATATTAATATTTTAACTTGTGCTCACTTGGTATTGACATACTGTGCATATTGTTGACTCGTGTAGGAAATGGCTTGTGAAGTTCATCGTTTGTAAAGCACTTCGGATAAAACGGTCAGCTATATGATTAAATGTTAATGCTAATATGACGGGTAGTGATTTTTTATTTTCTACACTTTATTTTTGAACTCTCTTTTGGTAATACTTTTCCTGTTATGAATTAATTTGTAACTGTTACTGCTTCCAAATGTGAAATAGTCAGTGTTTTGTTTCTGCTGTGTCTCTTTCTGGCTAAAGGGAACATGACAAAGACCCACAGCTGTTCTTCCAGACCTTACTGAAACTCAAAGAACAACAGCTGAGCTTTGAAGTTTCTGTCCTGGGAGAGACCTTCACTGATGTTCCAGGTACATCATGTGCTGTACGGATTAGGGACTGGGGACATAATTAAACAATTATAATGTGATATTACTGTTATACAACAGTTTGTTTCAGACAAAATGTTCTGGTTAGTTAGCTATATATTTTTTTCTTCTTTTCTCTGCTTGCTTATTTTTTTATTATTTACTTGCCTTTCTGTTATTTTCACAGAATGATTTAGTTGTTTGACACCTCTGATGTCATGCACAAATGTAATTACGTTTAACTTTGAAACACATTTGTTAAGTACATTGCTTTAGGTTCAAAGATCGTCTGTTTATTGCACACAGGCAACATTTTCATTGGCAAAATACACTCCCCATTAGTGGACAATTATGTTTTAATATCTTTCGGACAGTCTTGAGTATTTATGGCGTTGTGTTCATTTCATTTCTGTACCCACACACTCTAGCGCTGCCAAAGCGAGACTTACAGGAAACACAATCTCTTATATTGAGATGCAAACTTTTATCACGGCATAAACAGCTGCATGACCAAAAGAAATAAACAGATCGTAAAGGTTCCTCATGTTATGAAATTATGTTTACGATTGCTCGGAAGGCAATCACACTGAAACGGTTTTAATCTATTCTGATTTTGCTAATAGAATCACATTATTGATTATTTGTGCCCTTCTCCGTTTTATGTCCAAATTTATGATGACCTTGCTTATTTTATCTCCTCGCAAAATATGACCAAAAGTTTAAACATCCCTCTCTCTGCTAATTACTACACATCGATATTGAAGCTTCTGTCCCTTTCTCTGTTCCTTCCCACTATAGACATCTTTTTAGAAGCCAAAGAACAGTTGGTTGACCACATCCAGCACTGGGGTTTCATGCCCAGTAAGGAAGATTACCTCAAAGTGCTGTGCCAAGCAGATGTCGTCGTTTCCACGGCCAAGCACGAGTTTTTCGGAGTAGCAATGTGAGTTTCATCTGCTGTCTGTCACAGAAATATGTTCTCTCCAAACAGAAAGTCACCACAATGGTTTATTTATGTTTATTGGCATGTGTCGTTTGCTATTTTCATGAAATTTTAATGAAAACAAAAAACAAAAACGTGTCAGTTTTGGTGAATATAGTCATTCATATTAGTAAATTACCACAGAATTCATAGTAACTTCTTTGTAGCTTTGTTTAGTTTTGTGGAAAAATACAAAATCATAGCTAATACAGAAAGACTGTTCCAACATGTCACATTTTAACACAAAATGTGAAGATTATCTTGAGCATGCAATTCTCCAAAGCCCAAACATGCCCAGAAAAGTTCATGGCTTAATTGAAAGGTTGCTTTCGATCCCAGAGGCCTGTCCTCTCATTCTGGGGGTGTTTCAGAGTCAGGAGGGTACCGCGTGTGTTTTTGAAAGCACCACCCTTGATGTGTTGAGCATCGCCCGGATCAATATCTTCAGTCACCTGTGCTTGACTTTTGAAGATTTTGTTTGATAATGCAAGGTAGCACTGATCCAAAGTGCACTAGCAAGGGCTCATTCTACACTGGGAAATTCAGTCATCCTTGTTCTGTACACTAAATGTATACATTCTAATTAGATGACAGCATTGATACATTTTCTGGGGAGTGATATCGATTGGATGGAAACATCCTTTGATTTGCAAGGTAATGGTTTAGACTCGTGTTCCCTCTGGGACTCTTACTACATACGGCTGAGGTTGTTCTCGATTTCATTAGATCAAAGTCCAATGGAGAGGAGGAATAAGGAGACTCCTCAGCTTTGTGCGTTTTACGTTTATGTCCTCAGGCGATGTGTGTGTTCAAACACTGATCAAACACCTGCTGTCGGCTTTTCTTAATAATGTTTAACTTCCAAAAAAAACATCTCGTTTGAATTGAGCTGAATAAGGGTAATTAATGCTAGGATGTTTCCTTAAAGGGATAGTTCACCCAAAAATGAAAATTTTATAGAGGAGGAATAAGGAGACTCCTCAGCTTTGTGTGTTTTACGTTTATGTCCTCAGGCGATGTGTGTGTTCAAACACTGATCAAACACCTGCTGTCGGCTTTTCTTAATAATGTTTAACTTCCAAAAAAAACATCTCGTTTGAATTGAGCTGAATAAGGGTAATTAATGCAAGGATGTTTCCTTAAAGGGATCATTCACCCAAAAATGAAAATGTTATGTTTATTTGCTTACCCCCAGGGCATCCAAGATGTAGGTGACTTTGTTTCTTCAGTAGAACACAAACGAAGATTTTTAACACAAACCGTTGCAGTCTGTCAGTCTTATAATGGAGGTGAATGGGAATCACGGCTTTGAGAGTAAAAAAAAAACATACACAAACAAAACCAAGTTAAACCCTGCTGCTCGTGAAGATACATTGATCGGTCTGTGCAAGAAACTGAACAGTATTTATATTGTTTTTTACCTCTGATGTCCGAACTGATGTCCGAACTCACTAATTGAGATTGTAGATAGAGTGTCAATAGTCCATTTAAGAGATAGGTGGCGGTAATGCACTTATAAGTCATTATAAGTTATATTACATCTGCCGTAAAGCAAGAAGAAGAAGACGCCTCACGCACCTGCTGTTAAGAACACGTTCAGGAGGACATGCCGCCACTCAGGACAGTTCGAACAGTTCGGACATTGCGTGAATCAGAGGTAAAAAACGATATAAATACTGTTCAGTTTCTTGCACAGAC